ATAAATTACAAAAATGCAGGAAAATTCATGTCCTTTGTCAACAAAACTGCTTTAGAAATGATGGGTTCTGTCCCAGAGTAAACAAAGCTGAAACCAACCCAGTAAGTTAATGAGAGTTTAATCTTTTATTGTCAGGGATAGCCATGTTTCACTTTAGGGAAATCTTGATTTTCATGATAGTATTTGGTTTTAACTTATTATTATTTTCAATGGTATGAATTTTTTGGTATAAGGAGTCCCTCCTCCCCTTCCCACACCTCCGTTCCTACTCTCCCCTCCTCCACTGCTTTCCTCTATATTATTATGATAGCATAGTCCTTCAGCAATAATCATAAGTCTAACATTCTGCTGCTTATGTGTATCATGACATTGTAATTGTAAGCAATGGTAGAAAATCTAGTACATATTGTCAAGAAATAATTAACAATAATTGAGCAATAATTAAATTTTTTATCAATGAGTAGAGATGCATATTGCAACATATCTTCACATCCCAGTATCCTAGTCTCCATTATTCAGCTCATCAATTTCCTCTAATAATTTGCTGTGTTTGGGGTGAAAATTGAAGTCCTTGCTTTAGTTACAGCTGATTTTTGCGTATGGTGATAGGTAGAGTCTTGCTTCTTATGTCTTCAGGCTGATTATTTTCTTTTTTTTTTTTTTTTTTTTTTTTTTTTTTTTTTTTTTTTTTTTTTATTATTGTTGCTTACATTGTATTGTGTAGTACAGTTTCATAGGCGCTGGGGATTCCCCCCACCCCTCCCATACCCCTCCCCCCATGGTGGATTCCTCCACCTTGTTGCATAACCATAGTTCAAGTTCGGTTGAGATTCATTGCTTGCAGACACATGCCTAGCATAAAGTTCAGCGTCTTATTGTCCAGATAAGTTCAGTGGCCTCTTGGGGAGACCTTCTATGGTCTGAAAATAGGTCTAACAGAGTAAAGATCCAGTCAGTTAAAAGCCCCAACGAGGCCACAGTATCAATATACAACATTATGGAATTAATTGACATAGTATTGGGTAAACAATATGTTAAAAATAATGCAAGTTCCCTTCTTAACTATCTGATTTTATATTAGTTGGCTGTGCATGAGGAGAGCTGCCAATTTGGGATTTCTATTCTGTTGCATTGATCTTCTCTTTATGTATCAGTGCCAGACTGCTTTAGTTACCACTGCCCTGTAGTACATCTTGAGATTTGGAATTGTGATTCCTACAGCTTTATTTCTATTCTTCAGGATAGCATTGGCTATTCATGGTCTCTTTGTTTTCAGATAAATTTTTCTATCATCTTTCCTATTTCTGAGAACATTGTTAGGATTTTTTACAAATTTATTTTCTTGGTATGGTGTATCACATTATTGATATGCATGTGTTAAATTGCACCCAGCCCTAGTAAATGACCTGTCTAATGTATTGTTGGTTACTGTTGGCTAGTTTTGTTTTTTCTTAGAGATAATGTGTCTATGTCCATCAGGGGTATCAGTCTATAGTTTTCTTTCTCTGTTGTGTTTCTATCTATATTTGATATTAAGCTGATGATGACTTTATAATTTGGAAGGATTGCTTCCCTTTCTGTTGTTTTGAATAGCCTGCGGAGGACTGGAGTAAATTCTTATTGAAATGTTTGGCAAAATTTAGCAATAAAAGTCATCCTGCTCTGGCCTTTTCTTTGTTAGAAAACCTCACTACTGATTCAATCCCTCTCCTGGTTATAAGTTTATTTATATTATTAGTTACCATATGATTGAATTTTGGTAAATTGTAGGGGTCCAGAAACCTACCCATTTGTTTTTTGAGGTCTTTCGATTTGTGGGTGTATAGTTGCTTATAATAGTTCCTGTTTATTCTATGTATGTCCAAGGCATCTTTTGTTATATTTCCTTTTTTTTCTCTAATTCTGTTGGTAGCTCTCTTTTTTATATTAGTTGAGTTAATGAGGAATCCTTCTGTTGTCAATGCTGTATATTATTCTTTTAGTCTATATTTGGTTTATTTCCTCCATTATTTTGGTTACTTTTTCCACTAATCTTGACACTGTTTCGCTGTTGTTTGCCTGGCTCCTTCAAACATATGGGTAGCCTGTTTACCTGGTGCATTTCTAGTTTCTTGGCATAGGCATTAATTAAAATGAACTTCCCTCATAACCCTGTCTTGACTGTGTCCCACAAGTTTTAATATGCTGTGTTGATGCCTTAATTTGTTTCAAGTCACTTTATTTTTTGATTTCTTCTATAACTCATTATTCATTTAGCAGCATATTGTTCAGTCCCTAAATTTTTGCATATCTGCTGGGATATTTTTACTTGTTGGTCTCCAGTTTCACTGGTCTGATAAGATGCTTTGTATGATTTCAATTATTTACATAATAGTATGAGGCTTGTTTTGTTGCCTATAACGTGGTGAATCCTGCAGAAGTTTCCATGACTTTATGAAAAAAAAAAAAAGTGCATTCTGTGTCTATAGGAGTAAACATTCTGTAGATATCAATTCAATCCATTTGTTTTAATTTCTGGGTGTGCTCTGTTGTTTTCTTGCTGAATTACTGTCTCATTGTTCTCTCCATTGAGGTTAGTACTAAGGTTCCCCACTATTATTGTACTGGAGTCTATTTCTCTGTTTAAATTCCTTGAAGTTTGTTTCACATAACTAGGTGACTTGGCATTAGATGCATATACATGTCTTATCATGACTTGTTATGTGGTGTCCTTCTTAATCTCTTTAAATGCTTTCATGTTGATGTCTATATTATTTGATATATGCACCAGCTCATGTTTCCTTTACATATATCTTTGTTGATGAGATATGTCTCATGTTGGTAGCAGACAGATGGGCCCTGTATTTTTATCGAGTCCATCAATCTGTTTTCTGAATGATGAACTTAAGCTACTTACATTCAGGGTTAATGATTTGGTCAGTTTAGCATCGAGTTTCTTACACCTTCATTTACATTTGTTCCATGGTTTTACTGAAATGCTTTCCACATTTGCCTTGTACTTGGGAGGTATTCTTTTTTTCCTCTGTAGCACATCTTTAAGCAACATTTGAAAATGTGATTCTAGCTTCTTCTTTATTATATTCTTCACTATAGAACAGAATGTAATATAAAACATCATCTTTTGTATATGCTTTGGCCTGGGAAAGAACTGCTGAAATATTTATGATTTGATTTGTATGTCTTGGTTCTGTCTTTAAAGCAATCCATTAGATGCACCCTCACCTAGTATCATGAGGCACAGCATTGCCTTACTTCTTAATTGTGGTGTTCTGTGTTTTATTGAGGTGATCTTAAAAAAAAATCTTCTCTGATTGAATATATTCCAGAATGTTGATTGTCTCCTAAATATATCAGTTTCTGACGAGTATAATTCTAATTTTGCTAATTCAGATTTTTACATTTTTCATTTCAAAGTCATGATAAAGATGAATTTCAAAACAGATGGGGGAAAGAGACTAAACTGTTGTAATTATTTTGCAAACAAAACACTGAAAGAAATAACTCATGACATACTATTGAAAATTTAAATAAATTCATAATATTTAGGAAAGGTTTATGTTACTTTAAAAGCCTTACAAAGTAAAAATTATTATTGAGGAAATTCAGAAGAAAACAGAATTATTATATAAAAGAAAAAAGTCACATCATACGACCTTTGAGTAACGCCACTATTTATGATACAAAAAATTTACTTTGACCAAGAGACAGTTGGCCATAAACAGTGAGATAAGGGGCACCTGGACATGCTACTTCACACTTTCTCCTGAAGCCTCCTGAAAACAATGCATTGGACCCACCCCAAACACCTTTTAACAATCTATTTAAAAATGGAAATTCAGTACAGAATTCAAACGGGGGGGGGGAAACATATTTTTCTATAGACTTATGACCATCCAATTCGAAATACTTAAATCTATAGAACAAAGACAATCATGTAGGTATATGGAGGTTATTGTTAGAGATGCAAACTATAAGAGAAGCTGTCTACTTAATCTTCACCTATATTTTACTCAGAATCTGTCTCTAGGAATTTCTACTTTTTATACCAGAGATGAAAGATGTTATTCTCCAGAATGTGTTTAAGTACAAAAAATAGGTTCATAAGCCACCGATAAAAATACCACCTGCCTTATAAACATTAGTATTTGACAAATGATAGTAATTGCACTTGAAAACCTGTAAGTGTACAAAAAACTGAAATTTAATGCACTAAGATATAAGTTGCCTAAATAAATCATCATAAAAAATAATAGACAAAATTAATAGTTTCACAGGCTTAGTGATTAATTTTAAACTGATTCTGATATGAATGTTTTATTTGGATTTCATTTAAACACTGGTAGTATCCATTCTAAATAAATGGCTTTAATTTAATCTGCCTAAAATGGAATATTCTATAATGTTATGCTCAATAATTTCTAACAGCACAGCATAATTTCCCCTAGACCCATAAGAATTCAGCTGAGTCATTAAGAATAGTCTCAATCCTTCTTCCTATTCATGGGGTGTGATCAGTGACTGCAACAAATTGAAGAAGAGATTATGCCTTGATAGGACTATGACACAAAGTTAGCATTCAACTGAAATATCTGAGTATCAGTACAATACTTACATTGTCGTACAAGCCGCTCTTAAAAACAGTCTTACCTACCAATAAGCAAGGTGCCCAGTTGTTCAGATATCAACACTTTTTATCAATACAAGTAAAGACAGAAGTTATGAAGCACTGAAGTTGTTTACAATTATGCAGCACAGGTGTCTATTCCAGTTGGAAGTTGCTTCACAGCTGACTGGACCTCTCTACATTAATCACCCTCACATGGTAAGCCAATGGTCTCTCCAGTTATATTCAAAAAGATGCTCTCATAACTCAGGGCACTAATTATTAAATGAAGGCAGAACCTCAAGGCATAAATCTCATCAACAGAAATTTTAGCAGAAAACACAATACAAACAACATTGGCAACATAAGCTTCTGTCTTCTTTGAGTCAACACTGACCTTCTGTTCCAAAAGCAATGTGTTTGTAGGAATTGCTGCAAAAGCCTTGTAGCTTGACTTGATCTTGTATTGCTAGAATGGGTAACCAAAAAGCAAAGGTAGAGTTGAAAAGGAGAAAAAACAGCACAAATTTAGATGACATGTTATCAAATGGAGAATAATCATTGTGCTTGAACAACTTGTTTCTAAGAGAGGAAATATTAGCTCGTTACGTTGATATTTTATTAGAATGAAAAGCAAAGAAATGTCACAGCAAGACATAAAGCCGAGAGATTACAGGCAATGTTTTGTCACTCATTTTCATACCTTAAAATTGCCCATTTCTAATACAATTGCACATAAATCTCTCATTACCAGCTTTCTCTTGTTGTAATTTGGTTCTATAAATGAGTGAAGCTGAGCTTTCGGTTTGATCTGCCAGGTATATATTTCTTGTTTATAGCAGCACAACTAACAAACATTAAGCCAATAAATTTAATCAAGATCTTGACATGATCTTTCATATCACCAATTTTATCAGAATATAAAAACTCAGCATCAGCTTATTAACAAGCAAAAATGCAGTCAATAACTGGAATATAAGTGATATCATTGCTTTAGCTCCATAATGGAAAATCAAGCAGTATGAGTCTTAAGCTCTGTGAGGTACCCACATTGTAGCCTGTGAAGTCTGAGACATGACTCCTGCTAAGTACAATTTCTGGGTGAATCTAGTTTTAGATTCATTTTTAGAAATCTTATCCTCCCTTGTACTTTTATGAATACTGCAGTGTTATTGAAGCCAACAACAAAGCATTCTGTGTTTCATCCAAAACACAAAGTACCAAAGATCAGTTTTATCAAGTAGTAGGGGAGGAAGATGATCATGAAGAAACTGTAGAAATAAGGATGAGATGTATAATCAAAAGCTCAGTTTTGATACAGCTCTGTATATCAAGCAGCTTCAATGAGTTCAAGGTCCCTACCTCCTCAAATGTGCCTGTCTTAAGCAGCTTCCCCACAGGCCGGGAGCCAGCAGGGAACATGTCACAAAGCTACAGGATGGCTTAGTAATTTGGAAAGTAAACCAAAGGGTTCATGGAAGACAAGGTAGTCAAATAAAATTAAATCATGAGTTACATAGTGATAATTATTTTTTTCACATAGTGATAATTAAAGACACCTTTCTTCAACCAGAGTGATGAAAGTAAGAGGCTTCCACATGCATTTACATTAGAAAATCATTGAAATAGAGAAAAATGAAAGTGCCAAACCTAGAGGCAAATATCAGTGTCCAGCTTGAAACGGAAAATATTCTCTTTGTATTTTTCTCTGTCTATTGTGTTGGGTAGATTAAAGTACATTAGCAACCCGAAGCCTGAATGTCAGCATGAAACACAGAGAGCTGCCATGAGGGGAAACAATAAGTCAACTAGCAACATCACACTACTAGCACATGTTTGCTCACTTGCATGTGCTCCCAAATTCACATGCACCACATGCAGACATACACATGTGCAAAGGGTATTCAAAAAGTTCATGCATCCTAAAAAAATTATGCATGAAAATCTTTGCACCACATTAAGCTTATATTTTAAATCCATTTTTCATGAACGTTCTGCAGTCCTCTCATATAGACATGAACATTCTTGCATAAGCATACACTCAACAATGCATAAATACGGTCTGAGAAAGTACACACTTTTCCCTAAGGAGTGTTTGCTAATTTTCTTCCTTCTTTTCTCAAGAAAGATTTTCCTCCCTACTACAAAGAAAAGCTGTGTGGCCTTCTGCAAGTCTATCAACTCCTATGGGTCCTGCACTCTTGATGCCTACATAAGTGACAATCACAGAAGGCTGTCAATTCCTTTAAGCTCTAATATTCTACATTGAGTGCACTGCTTTGGTCTGAAAACAATACATTTTGATGTTTTGAAGCTGAAAATGAATGGAAAATTACATGCTATCTCTTCATGGAAATTTACTAATAAGAAAACTCTAACTGTGTCATTGAAATTTATTGAAATCCTATAAAGAAATAGTTATTGAGAAAAACAGAGGTCAAATAGTCCAAGATCACACAATCCAATGCCCATTTTCATCCATAAAATGGAATGCTTTTAACAAAGAATAGGTAAATAGACCACTAACACAGAATAAAATACATCGTTCACCCAATATGAATAATTATTTCTGAATATTTCATTACAATAGTAACCATCAGTTTCCTGCTAATACAAAGACTGGGAGACAGCTTTGATTTGTGATATTCATTCACTCCAAGGGGAGACCTGGGGAGATTGCTAACAACGGCCTTGTGCAGCCCCGCAGTCCCAACTGCTGCAAGCATGTTGGGAGTGAACCAATGGAGGGGAGCTATTTGTGTGCAGACAGATAGATGGACATAAATAAATACATATACATGCATGCATGTATGTGTGTAGATATTATTCTATCTTTGGAAGAAATTAAACAAATGAAATTTTAAAAAATCATGACGACCTAAGGTACCACTTAAAAAGCTTTCTGTGAAATATCTCACTCAACTATCACAACAAACTTATTAGCAGATGCCAAACTATTTTATATATGGAAACTGAGTTGCATAATGCTTAGTAACATATCTGAACTCACCAACTACTAAATGACGGCTGAGATTTGGTCTCAACAGCTGGGTACTTAACTACACACACCTCTGCGTCTTAATTCAGCTCATGTAATCATGGTGTTTGTACTCCTATCCTCAGCTCCTCTAAACAATAGAGGTGTAGAAGGCGATACAGAGATTGTGCCACTGCACACATAAAGCCATGGTATCTTAGAACCAGAAGTCAATGTTATCTGGTTCAGTTCTCTCATCTGAAGCATCAGTTTCTCTTTTCTTCTCTTCAGTAACTGCAAGCATCTCATGTACTTCCAAAGCAGCCTCAAAGCTAATTAGAAAAATCTCCGTCATATTGAACCACAATATGCTTCTTGCTAACTTACTCCATTGTTCCTATTTCTCTCCCCTTATACTCATTACTCATGCTAAGGGTTCTCTTCTGTATGATAGTTAAATTGCCACCTTTACCAACCCCTGATTAAATGAATATTTAGAATATACTCTTTATTCTGTCAATATCCCTTTAAATTTGAAAAGGTATGCATTTAACTAGATGGGTTTTTTTTTTAAATGTGCTTTTAACACAAGAACATTATCTTTACCTACAGGAAACTGACAATCAGCAAAATTAATGTAATGAAGGCACTAATCATTAGTGTATCTCCTTAGTTTTGTGGAGAGTTTAAAATGCACAGTAGAGGAGGTTGGAGTCATTTCAAATTGTTTAATCATGCTGAGTATGCTTAAAATTTCTGATCCTTTCATCTTGTTAACCATTGCTAATAAACCTCACCCTGGAATTATTTTGCAGTTATATGGGGATTTTTAATGTTGTCTTTTTTAATCCTTTTCTATCCCAAAGCTGAATTTTAGGTCCTATTTCCATTTAATGCCACCAGAATAGATTTGATCTCCCATTATAAACTATGAATTTAATAAATTTATATTATTTTATATACTTTTGCTAGAGATTTAGATTGTAACTTAATTCGCCCATATACAAAAGAAAGTAAGCTCTTGCAACCAGATTCTTTCAATGCAGAGGTTCTTAATCCATTCGGTAAATCCATTTGGATATAGCAGTTCAACGACTTAATTCGATAAACTTTTAATGAGTATCTTCTACACAACATGAACTGTTCCTTGAGTAATTAGATCATTTCAATCTCAAAATCATTTTTGTTTAGAGAAAAATGGCCCAAGTTCTTGGGCCCCTATGCCACCAGAGGAATGATCTCTCTGTCTCTCTGTGTCTCTTTCTCCTTTCTCTCTCCCTCCCTCCCTCCCTCTCCTCTATCTGTAAATCTGCCTTTCAAATAAAAAATGAAGAAAATGAAGAAATCTTCAAAAACTACATGCTTGTTTTCCTTAAAGGCATGCTTGGGATCCAATGTATTTCCTCTGGATTTTCTAAAATATAAATACATTCTATGCAAATATGAAGCTTTAAAATTTTAGCTTGGAACATAGTTCCTTTTTACTATTGTAAAATTTCTAGACACTAAACCAAATTCTATTATTTCCCTTTGCAGCTAAAAATTATGAATAGGACTAGTAATTCATGTAATTTGAGATACAGGCTAGAACCACTATCAGCTAGAATAGACTAGAAATGGCAGACTAAATCTGAGTCTGGCAAAGAAGACAGTGGTAGCTACTGAGTCTCTCTAATTTATAAGATATGCTTTCAGGTAACACTCAAGAAATATTTTTGAGATATTCATTAATATTTCTAGGCAAGGTTTTAGGTTAAAAAGACAAAATGGTATTCTACATTCAAATTTACCATACTTAATCCTTTCTATAGGACATGCTAGGTAATTCAACATAAATTCTCAACATAAAGGGAAGATCAGCAAGAATACATTTTCTTCTGAAAATACTGCCCACCACTATCTTAGAACTATGCCAAAGTGAACTATGCTAGCTTCCTTAATTGGAGAAGTTGCATGTATGGTTATATTTTAAGTGAAAGTGAATGGAAAAGCCTGGAATATAAAGGGCAGAATTTAAAAAAAAAAAAATCTGATGAAGAGCTTCGCTTTAGTCAATTTCTGGCAACATGTCTGAGCAGAGATAACAGGAATACTCGTATCTTGTACATATCCCTGACAACAGCCATTTATGGGATATTTCCCAGACATCCCTTTATATCAAGTTGGTGGGCACAACACACTCTACAGGGATGATGGGGTGGCAGGTTGACTTGCCTGCTAAAAGCTGGGTACAGATCATAGACTGACAGAAGAAATGAGGAGGGTCTATTGAGAAAAACTTCCCTCTTTGTTCCCAAGGCCTCTCTCCATTCCCAAGATTTTTGTTTTTTTTTTCTTGAAAAGCATATTTACATCTTTCAATTGAAGTATTTGTCCATTCTAATATGCCTGTTAAATTTTTAATAAAAATGTTATTCCCCCTTTAACTTATACCTAACATTTGTTAGAGAAAATGTTTAGCAGATATTTCTTGAGTTGAAGTACTTAATAGA